CATGAAAAACCAAAATAACATATCCCCACCAAATACCAGTAATCCTCTAGAGGAGCACAATGAGAACCCCCTAGAGACAATGCAGGACATGGAGCTCAAAAGAACAATGATGAATATGATAAAAGAATTCAGTGAATATAAGAACAGACAAACAAGGTAATCATAGATCTGAAGGAAGATAGGGATAAACTTCTAAATGAATTCAGAAAAGCGCTAGAAATACTGAAGAATACTCAGGATGAAATAAAGAATGAAGTGGAACACTCCATAAGCTAATTAGAAACAAAAGGAGAAAGCCTCAGCAATAGGATGAACGAAATGGAAAACAGAGTATCAAGACTGAAAGATAAAGTGAACGAACTGGACCACTCAAGCAAAGACTATGAAAAATTTAAGAAATCACAAGAATGGAATATGCAGGAATTGAGTGATACCATAAAAAGAGACCAAACTTATGAATCATAGGTATACAGTAATGAGAAGAATCCCAAGATAATGGCATGGACCAGATCTTCAACAGAATCGTGGAAGAAAGAAAATTTCCCAAACTTAAAGACATGCCCATACAAGTACAAGAAGCATATACAACACCAAACAGACAGGACCAGAACAGAAACTCTCCACGGCACCTCACAGTAAAAACACTAAACGTACAAAACAAAGAGATAATACTGAAAGCTGGAGTAGCAAACTTTTTTTTTTTTAAAGGCCAAATTGTAAGGTTAGCTTTGCAGGTCACATGAACAGCTCTACCTCCACTGTGCCACTGCCTTTTAGCACAAAAGCAGTCATAGATAATACATGAACAAGTGGGGATGGCTATGTGCCAATAAAACTTTATTTATAAATACATATGGCCAATCAGTTTGCCTACTCTCCTTAGAAAGTTCAGCCCAGCGTGGTGGCGCACACCTTTACTCCCAGCACTCAGGAGGCAGAGGCAGGTGGATCTCTGTGAGTTCAAGGCCAGCCTGGTCTACATAGCAAGTTCCAGGACAGCTGGGGCTACAGGGAGACCCTGTCTTAA